TGACTTCAAAGATATCCATAGTTTTATAAACGTTGGACCGCTAACGGTGAGAGTTTGTGCGGTTAATAACATCAAACTCATACGTCTCGAATCTGCAAACGTATGCTTGAGAATGACCGAATCGACGTTGCATTGTATGTTCGATCTCGATCGGTGCATCGATGCGAGATTCGATCATTTGATCAGAATACTTGCGACGGTTGGTGCAAAGTTTGCGCAGTTCTCCGATATCGCGTCCACTGTGAAGGATCCCAAGGAAGCGTCGAATGTAATATACGCTAGCGATGCGTTCAATACGAATCAGATCATCGATTGTGAGCTCGCAGCTTTAGTTTTTAGCACGTAAGATATATTATGTAAAAGAAGAGTTAAATAAACAGGCTTTTTTTACACCCTAAAACGAACGATGTATTTTTCTTTTGCGTGCATGTCCTTCCCTATATCTAACTTTTATCATATGTTGTTTACAACGAACATGTTCCGACAGGTTCGATGCATTATCTGGTCGATCATCGTCCCGATGACGTCAATTTTTTCTTTTGTCTTTTACGTACTGCGTAGATAGATTGTTTAGTCCACGCGATAATCGCCCCTCTTTTCCTAGAAATATGTTGTTTACGTCGAACTGTTGGCGTATGCTGCAGAAAATATTGTACATGATGCATTACATGAGAATTAAATGTATATTACAATGCATATCACTGTATCTAAAATTATCTTTCCTTCTCCCAATTATTTATTATAAAGAAAAGAAACGCGAGCAAAGGGGCGCGAGCGAGAGAGGACGCGAACGAAGAGACGCGAGCGACAGAGAACGCGTTCACATGTGTCGATGCTCCGTCGAACTTTTGCCTGCCATTGTAGTGCGAGACATATTTCATTTTAATTTCTTTTTGTTGGAAGGGGCTGTCCGTTTTTAAACTGTTACCATTTCTTTTTTTGGTGACATTTTACCCCGCTTCGTTCTGCAACCGTCGTAGAATTCAGTCTCGTCGAGTCCGCGAAACCAAACGTTCGAAAGTTTTTAGTAGTGTCAAACAATTATGGTGCAGTACATAGAAGTACTTATTCCGAGGGACGGCACGGTACGGAAGTGTAGTGACACGGTGACAGAGTATAGTGAATAGTGACATAATATAGTTTTTTAAATATGTTTTTTTTTCTGTTTAGCAGATGCAGCTAAATATACAGGTGGTGACGGATGAGCGGTGGGTGCGGGTGCGCATTGCGCGGGAACACGTGAGTCTTATTTTTTTGTGCGTGCGCGCGTGTTTTGAAAAAAGTACAATAATATTTTATATATATTGATTTTACAGCTGTGGATAAGTTACGTGATACCGGGATTTATCAATATAGCTCACCGGCGTTGGGTCCAAGAGGATAGACGTATTGAGAGAGATCTGTATGATACCCAAACATCTCGGTACGCGATGCTCAGACTTTTTGGAGAAGATACCTCCGAGGAGGAAGAAAATGAAATCTGGTAAAATAATCGCTTTTTAATAAAAAAATTTTAAATTTTTATTAATTATATTATTCATATTGCATTTGTGTGTTTCAGGTGAAGATCCTCCGGATAAATTGATCTTCCTTATAAATTTTTTAATTTTCATATTATAAATTTTCTCGAAATAAACAAAAAATTAAATAATTATAATATTTATTTATTTCCCTTCTTTCTCCCTTCCTTAGATAGTTTAATTATACATAATAAAATATATTTATTATGGGGGACGGGAGCGAGAGAACGCGCGCGAGAGAGAGAACGCGAACGGGGGACGGGAGCGAGCAAGAAACTGCGCGCGAGAAAGAACGCGAACGGGGGACGGGAGCGAGAGAAAGACTGCGCGCGAGAGAGGACGCAAACGGGAGATGGGAGCGAGAGAGAGACTGCGCGCGAGAGAGGACGCGAACGGGGGATGGGAGCGAGAGAGAGACTGCGCGCGAGAGAGAACGCGAACGGGGGACGGGAGCGAGAGAGAACGCGCGCAAGAAAGAACGCGAACGAGAAGACAGTCCTTTTCGAGAGAAAGACTGCGCGCGAGAGAAGACGCGAACGGGGGACAGGAGCGAGAAAGAGAACGCGCGCGAGAGAGAACGCGAACGAGAAGACGGTCCTTTTTAAGAGGAAAACAAAGAAAAGAAATAACGCGCAACGTCATAATCGAATGGCACTGCAAAAACGTGACCCAGTGAACCTGTGACCCACATGTTCACAAAAAAAAAAACCTCAATAAATTGCCCTAAAAGACATGTCTGAAGAGGACATTGCGGCGGTAGGCATGCACAGCGGGGGTCTCCGAGACTCACAGGCCAACTTTTTTTCCGGCGTTTTATTGTTTCCCTTTTTTTGACCCCGTATATCTCTGAGTTTTTTAGAAATTTTCTTAAAATAAATAAATAAATATTAAATAATTATCTATTCCCTTTCTTAGATAGTTCTCCTATACAGAAAAATAAAGAGGAGAGACCGCGACGGTTAAGTCGCATAAACTTTTGGTCGAGTACCTACGTCGCGCGACCATCGATGCTCAGCCATCCGCAGTGCGAGATGATATTCGTTTATAAATTCTGTCATCGACGTTCGTCGATACCCATAGAAATTGAATCGCGTTGCCGCGCTTATGCCGTCTAGTGTTTATAAAATCTAGCTGCATGTCATCGGCGCTCGCCTTTGTAACGCGCGACGCCATAGCCGAATGGCGCCGCGAAACACCGATAAGCGGCACTTCCTACGAAGAAAAGTGAAAAAGACCGCGGTGTCACGCTAGTCGCAGGTCGTAAATTATAGCCGCCTGCTATAGGCGCTCGCATTTGAAGAGTGTGAAATGACATCTGTTTATAAATACTATCGGCCGAACATCGACGCGAGGCGGCATTTGTTTATTGAACATGTCCCGACGCGCTCGCCTGATCCACCCCCCTCCCCCCTTCCCCCCTAACCCTATGCTAGGAACGCAGACCACCCCTTACCTCCCCACCATATGGTGGGAACGCAGACCACCCCCTCCGCCACACCTCCTCGGAGGACGGCGGCACTAGAGTCCCTTCCCGCCCGGCAGACCCCGCGGCCGCGAGTCCTTCCGTCCCGCCCCTCACCCCCCCTGAGATCCCTGATATAGAATTCTCTCACTCTTCCTACTCACTATCACGGAAACATTCGAAGAACACCTCCGGATCTTACGCGAAGTATTCCGGCGCCACCGCGCAGCCAGTTTACGACTCAACCCGGATAAATGCCGATTTTGCGTCGACCGCCTACAATATCTCGGCCATATAGTCGATCGCGAAGGGATCCGTACCGACCCTGAGAAAGTGCGGGCAGTCGCCCAGTGGCCACGGCCGCAAACCGTAAAACAAATCCGGCAATTCCTGGGGGTGGCATCGTGGTACCGACGCGCGACGGTTCATCCAAGACTTCGCGACCATCGCCGCACCGCTCACCGCCCTGACGCGAAAGCACGCCCGCTGGAGTTGGGGGGAGGCAGAGGATACCGCGTTCGAGAAATTAAAAGATACCCTGACCTTCGCGCCGGTCCTCTCGTGCCCAGATTTTACGCGACGCTTCATCTTACAAACCGACGCAAGCACGACCGGCCTCGGGGCCGTGCTCACGCAAAACTTCCCGGAGGGGGAGAGGGTTATCGCATACGCAAGCCGCACAATGAATCAGGCCGAACGAAACTACAGCGCGACCGAGCTCGAATGCCTTACTGTAATCTGGGGAATACGGCGAATGCGCGAGTATCTAAAAGGATACTCATTTACAGTAATTACCGACCACCAATCCCTCCGCTGGCTGCAAAAATTAAATGCACTCACCATTGTAGGCAGGTTGGGACGCTGGGCATTCGAGCTCCAACAATACGATATGGACATTAAGTACCGCAAGGGAGCCCTCAACCGGGTCGCAGACGCCCTGTCGCGTCAAAACACCGCCGCCGCTGTCACGACCCCGCCCCGCTGCTCGTGGTACCACCGGACGCTACGAGCGGTGCAAGACGCTCCCCGGGAACACCCCGATTACGAGATGAGGGACGGGAAACTGTACCGGCACATATTGCACAACCTCGACTTTAACGAAATCCCGCCCGAAACCCAATGGAAGGAATGCGTAGCTAAGGAACTGCGCCCCGAGATCCTCCGCCGAAATCACGACGCTCCCACCGCCGGACATCTCGGCATCGCAAAAACGATCGCTCGCGTCGCCCAGTTATATTACTGGCCCGGCCCGGTATGTTCCGGGAAATCGCACAATACGTGCGAAACTGCCCTCGGTGCCTAAGGCACAAGGTCGCGCAAACCCGACCGGCGGGGACACTACACGCCACGTCCGTCACCCGCCCGTGGCAACAGGTCACCCTCGACCTAATCGGGCCGCTGCCGCGATCGAAGCAAGGCCACACATGGCTCCTAACAATGCAGGACCGCTTCTCCAAGTGGTTGGAGATGCGCCCCCTGCGCCGCGCCGCGCCACCGCCCCCGCAGTAACCACGCACATCGCCGAAGCAATTATATTCCGCCACGGCTGCCCCGACACGATATTGTCGGACAACGGCACGCAGCTCCGTTCTAGTAAACTCGCAAAAATGCTCGCCGCCCATAACATCCGACACGTATACGCACCGGTCCACGCGCCGCATTGCAACCCGGTCGAGCGAACAAACCGTGTTGTAAAAACAATGATTTCGCAATACGTCGACCGAAACCACCGTAATTGGGATGAGCGCATCCCCGAACTCCAATTCGCGTATAATACGGCCCGCCACGAAGCCACCGGCTACACCCCCGCGTATCTCATATTCGGCCGAGAACCAATCTCCCCTCTCAACCGGGAGACCGCCCCAAGCGCCGCGGCCGCTCCGCCGGACGAAACGCGCCGACACCTCGAGGTGGCCTACGAACTCGTGAGAGTACACTTGACGCGCGCTTTTCAGAGACAGGAAAAATATTTTAATCTACGACGCCGCCAGTGGGCACCGAAGGTCGGGGAGTGGGTAATGTGGGTATGGAAACGCGAATACCCACTCTCCAACAAAGCCGCCGCGTTTAACGCCAAACTGGCACCGAAGTTCCGCGGGCCCCTCGAGGTGCGCCGAATTGTATCACCGGTAATCGTCGATCTCCGCGACAAAAGCGGCAAGTGGAGCCGCCATATCCACGTACAAGATTTAAAACCCGCGCCCGCCGCCCCCGCGCCTGACGTCAATGAAGAGGACAATGACACCGAGACCGACACCGGCGAAAATGACATCGAGGACGACGGCAGTACCGAAACCGAAACCGACAACGATGAAAACACGGAACCGGGAGATAACGACAATAACAACAACGAAACAAATTCAGAGGACGACGACGGAGCCGAAGATTAGGCGAAAAGCAAACCGCCCCACTCCCAAAAAGGAAAATAAATATCGGCGCCGAAAACAAAAAGCTCACAGACGAGCCATGGCATCCGTCACGAGCGAAACGTTGATCGAGAAGGATATCCTCGAGGAAATCAACAAGATCCTCGCCGAGCCAGAGGAATATGACCCGGCCCACCCGGACATCGGGCATACCTGGTCGAGGCTCTTCCACAGAGGGTCCGCCGCCGCCGCCGCTCTCGCCAAGAGTACCGCACCCGCAGGCGCACCGCCGACACGCAAAAACGTGCCGACGGTCGGCTGCACGATCCAACGGTCCGACGAGCAGCAACGGCGAAAATTAGAATGGCTCACCACCCCGCCGCCGCCACTGAGCCAGCCGAGACCACGCGCCGTGCCGAGAGTCACCAAAATAGAGAGAACAAAAGTCGACCATACGGAGGAGGCCATACGGAGCCGTCTAAAACCCCTGGCATCGCCACCGACACCGGCCAACAACCCGCCAGCACCGGCGAGACCCCCGCCGATACCAATTACCGGCCCGACGGCACCTCCAGAGGCAGCCACAACGAGGATCCTTGCGCCTCCGCCGCCGCAACCAGCACCAGCCGAGGTCCGACCATTACGGGCGGAAGGGACCCAGCCACCGCCCCCGATCCCGGTAGCCGTAGAGGACGGGCACATCATATGGGTGCCCCATTACCATGCGCACGTCTCCCGGCAGCACAAAACGCGGTCGGGAGGCAAGCGATGGCATATCAGATTCAACGCAACCGGCTCCGTCCGCAGCATTCGGGAAATTAAACCGAAAACGTAGAGCGCCGAATTCGCGCTTTCCAAGGAGGGGGGTGATGTAACGATGCACCACCAAACATGCATCGTTCCGGCAGGAACACCACGCCGAGACCACCCCGCCGACCACCCGCGGGGGTGAAGAACGGGCACGATGTGCCCAGCGTATTTTTTAATCATCTCATACGTTAGGAAGTCCGCGAATAGACTTAAACGCGGCAACCGCTTCACCGCGCCGAGCAGTGCCGAAGACGGCCGAAGACCGCCGAACGCGATCACGGCGTCGGGGCGCCGCGATCCCCGATCGTTCCGCCGCACCGGCCCGGCGCTCGCAATTGCCGTCGCTACCCCCACCACGCCGCGACGCCGCCATGACGCCGCCGCGACGCGTATATAAGCCCGGCGTCGCTGGCACAGAGCGCGATTCCCGATCATCCGTCTTCCCGACAACACCGATCCTGAATTCCCGCACGAAGCCAGTCCAAACGCAAGGTAGAGCGCCTCCGGCATTCTCTGTATTCGCCGAGTGTGTCTCGGCTAACGACCAGCTTTTCGCACCTCTGAATCACCCGAAGCCGTCCGGATCCGAAGGTAGAGCGCCTCCGGCATTCTCTGTCTTCACCGAGTGTGTCTCGGCGAAGGACCAGCTTCTCGTTATCCAAATCATCCGAAGCCTGTCCGGACAAGACGGTAGAGCGCCTCCGGCATTCTCTGCCCTCGCCGAGTGTGTCTCGGCCGACGACCCGCTTCCGCCGCGTTATCCACGCTTCGCGATCCATATCGCCGCTGCGCTTCGCGCCATTTTTCCGCGCTCCGGGCCGCGCTGGCCGGGAAACCGGCGCCGCCCGTGCCGATACCTGCCACCACGCGATTCGGTCCGCGCGAATACCAAAGCAACGGCTCCGCCCCGCACATACCGCGGGTTGCCCCGCGCCGCCCGCGACCAAACTAACGTCGCCTCGCACGCATCGACCCATTGTAAATGCCGCGAGCGTAGATTGTAATTGTTAAAGAATAAATTTAACTATTTTCTTTTAACCGAGACGCGCCTTCATTTCGTTAACTTCGCCATCCGTCTGCTTCTCCGCACCTCCTTCGAACCCCGGCCAGCCGCGAGCTCGATCCGTGCTTCGAAGACAGGTTGTTTTATGGCGCCCGAACAGGGACTCGAACCCTGGACCCTCAGATTATAGACCATGACCATTATTCCTTTGGGCGGTTTTATAAACCCGACAAATTATAGACCATGTAACTTAACGTAATATACACAATATGTATTTTGTTGACAAGCATTTATATTTTTAATAGCATATGTTAGGATTCTTAAGATGTGTCACGCTAGAGATTAATGCGTGAGATAGTCAGAAAGTTTATTTTTACGACGAAAAGTCATTTCCTTAATATATTAATATTCTAATATATTAAAAGGGGGTTTGTGTGAATATTTTTACCTTCTGTAATATAACAAGTGCTTCTTATTCCTAATTCTCTAAAAGCCTTAACAAAATTAGAACCATTGTCTGTAACAATGGAAACTATTTTTCATGGTTTACTCCAAATGAACTATTAATTTTCATCAGTAAATCGCCAATGTTTCGCCATGTATGACTTTCCGAAAATCGTCTGCACGCAATAGCAGCCGATTTCCTTTCCAAAGTCTTTTGACAAATTTGAAAAATGGATCAAAATTTATATTTCAATATATGAGAAAGGGAGAGGACATCTTCAAGAGTAATTTTATGCGAATGTGTTTACATATATATTCTATATGTATATTTGCGCGCGCGCATGCATACACACGTACACGCGCACACACGGAATCAAGTTCTCTCTGTACTCATTAAATTCATTGATAACTATTAAAAGTATAATACACGCACCCAGTGAACTGTAACACCTATAAACCGACGGTTAGCTGTAGTCCAAATGTCAGCTGTTGTACAAATGTAGGACGTTTCTTTTATTGCCTCCTTGATTTCTGCGATTTGGTTGGTAAATTGCTCATTTATTTTTTTACTTAACGTATATCGTGTGAGATGTCTTAATTGCTGATCCCCGCTTTTTATTTTAAAATCTACAACGTAACAAATCATATGACATATTTGATAAACATTAGCATTTTTTTTATATGTATAAATTACCGTCAAACATTTTTTTGAAAGCAGGCTTTTCTATGGTATTTAGAGGAACCATGTTTTCTAAAATATAGCTAGTCACGTTATTTTCAAATATTTCTTGAGAAAATCTGCAAGTTACTCTTCGGCAGACATCAATTCTTGCTCTCTTTATTTTAATATAATTTTTGTACTCATCCATAGCCCGATCATGTTTACCAAGATGCGATATAAAATTAGATAATACGTTCAAACATCCTTTAATGGGTCTGGAATTATTAGGACACTTCGTGCATCTTGCAACAATTGATGATCCATCTGGATTTGATTTTGTGAAATCAACATCAAAAAATTTCCCATCTAGATATGCCTTTTTCGAACATTTCCCTCTCAAAGCATTCATAGGATCATTAATTTCGACTGTATTATCTGACGTTGATGCTATTTCTGATGCTATTTCTGATTGAGATGAGGAACATGATGCTACATTGTCTATGTCCATATTGTCCATTATGGCAAAATAAACTTTCTGTAAAAGTGTTGCATCTAATATTATTGCAATGTTCTTCACGTAAGGAATAACAAATAGTTAAAGACTGAACCAGTGAATAGATCGCCAAAACGATTTTACGAAAAGGATTTACATTTTATACGTTATATTATAAACACTTACCTGTTATCGGTTGCGTTCTTGCTACAATTTCACTATAATTATCGATTGCGACAGTTATTCGTTACACGTCTTTCTGACTCAAAGTCTCTCAGACGACTGACCGGTCACTAATTCGTGATCTTTGTTTACATTTCTGAACGCGTGGATTAATAGGAGAATAATGTTGTGAATGTTGTGATGGTCAAGCGGCACGGTAGTAACCGCAATGTCATGCGGTCGTGCAATGATGGTAAACCCCCCGAAGTACAACAGACTCTCAAATACATTATTTGAAAAAGAAAAAGAAACAGTTTTCGCAACAGCTAATGCGAGAAAAGTTTATAAGTAAATTAAAATCATATTTATTCGTATACTATCGGTGACTCACGCTTTCATTTATTATACAAAGTGTTTGGCGATAACATATACATCCGTATAAAATTTTAATTCTTAATTGAATATTTTGAATTGAGAATTAAAAATTTAATCCCCAATTAAATATATTCAATTTGTTGAGAATCTAACGCTCGCAAAGTGAAAGCGAGCGTTGGGAATATTCGAGAACGCTCGATTTGCTCCAAAACGCGTTACTTGCCTTCTCCCCGTTTTTTTTGGTGTTTTCGCTCGCGCCCGGACCACAGGTGCACATCGCGTGATCGCTCGTACTGCGACCAATAGTCTGGTCGCTCGACGATTTGGAGCCAATCAGCGTTTCTCACGTCTCGAAATTTCCTCGCGGAAAAGTTCGGAGCTCCGGCCGTGGTCGCGTCGCTTGCTCCGGCCGGGAGCTCAGTGAGCCCTAGCCATTCGTACGCGACACTAATTGTCGATATCGAAAACGGAGCCGAATCGGAACGAATATAATAGCGAGTGCTGTGTAACTAACTTTAAATAAATTGACTGTTACATTTTCCACGAGAACCTAATTATTTGTGCTGTCCGGCGCGCGAAAACCAGGAGCGGTCCACTAAACACAATTAAAAATTAAAATATTTATTCTTAATTGAAAATATTCAATTAAGAATTAAAAATTTAATTCTTAATTGAATGTTTTGAATTAAAAGTTAAAATATTATTTCTCAATTCAAAATGTTTAATTAGAAATTACATTTTTAATTTTTAATTGAATATTTGCAATTGAGAAATAATATTCTAACTTTTAACTCAAAACATTCAATTAAGAATTAAAATTCTAATTTTTAATTAAACTTTAATTACATTATAATTTTAATTAATTTTTCACAACTCTGGCTGCGCGGCTACGCCGCTTCGTCGAAGATCTGCGCTAGCGAACCGGTAGACTTGCGTCGCAAGGTTTCCACGAATTTTTATCTCGGAAACGGCTGAGAGTTGCGCGCTAGCGCTTTACTATGTTTTACTGTTAGTGAAGGGTTATTATAGGAATAAGTTTCATTCAGAACCGTTTCCCGGTTCTCGCGTCAAGCAGT